TATTTGCTTTGAAATCCAATCTTTGGTGTTGTTGCAAAGTAAGAAATATAAGTAAGAAAAAATTAAAAATATAACTACATACGTCGTAGAACGGTTACATACGTCGTAGTACGGTCATATAAGATAGGGATCAATCTTCAACTTCCTCTGCTTCAGAGATAGCTTCAGCCTTTCCTCGACCATCGTGACCCTTCGCTTCAATTTTTCTATCCACAAGCCATCCCTCTCAATCTTTCTTTTGTCCCGATCCAAAAGAACTCCCAGAAAATTTAAGGCCTCCCATACAAGAACATGATAATGATAAATTTTCTAATACATATCTTATATGTCCATCGTTCTCAGGTGCTTTGTAAAGGCAGGAAGGTCAACGAGTATTCTACATTCAAAGGTGTAAAAGGATACTGCTTGGTATCCCTATCAAGAAAAGCGTAATGACCGCTCATCCAAAGCCCAGCCCCTCAATCATGAGAGAATGGTCACTCATATGGAATTCCTCCTTATGGAGGAGGAGGCAACTCCCTTTCCTTAGATGAAGATTACCCTCTACCCTTTCAACATCTCCTGGTTATCTTTCTCACTAGATCTCTATCAAGATTGGATGAAAAGAGTGACTTGCCTCTGCTTGATATTGCAAATCCACGATTGAAGGATGGGCTGGAGAAGCTCCAAAATTTGATACACCATGAGACTCGAGGACATCCTTGCCACTCTTTTTAGATAATGCCAAAATAATATAAATGCATACTCATATGTATAAGCAACTAAAATGAGAAAAATATGTTTACCTTTGGTTCCTTCTTCAGTCAATCCAGAGGAGGCAGACCAACCCTCACCTCTTCAAAGCGAGGAAAGATCACTTTTTTCTTGATGTTTCTTTGAAGTTTCCCTCTTCTAGACGGACTACTCATTGGCCACTTCCTGAGCGTCAAATGGCACCCACATCCGTTTGATTATGGTCTCGCCGCCGTCGGGTCAAAGCATACGCTCTATCACTTCTAGATCGAGGTATTGAAATAACGCGAGAAGTTAACCCTCAATCGGTGCTCTATGATCTTTGAGATTGCCCAAAAGTTTCTTTACTTTCCTTGCCTTACTTTCTACTGGAACAGTGTCGATCACTCAACCATTAGCACAAGATCCCAACATGAATTTTTCTTACCAATCTTTTATCCTATTCTAAAAACCCACTAGATGGATCATGGAACCGGCGTCAAATTGAACATAGCCGCGTCAGTAAATTTGAAAGAAGAAGAAATGGTTGAACAATTTGAGTGACTAAGGGATCTTCACCATTCAGCTAAGAAGGATGAAATTTATGGGAGTTGGGAAGACCTTAGGGAGGAACAACCCCATAGCACCCAAAAATCAATCAAATTTCCTTACAAAGCGGCAAGCAAAGACCCGTTTTGAACTACTCTTTATAGAAAATCAAATACGGAGAGAAATCACCCGTCACCTGCTCATGGCTAGTGGTCGGTCGAAGTTGGATAGTTGGGTCATAAACATAAAGCCTTTAAATCTCCCTCACTTTTGTTGCAAAGAGAATCGAGACTTCCGAGGCTGAAATCAACCCAAATGATTCTTGGGAGTATTTTCAGGCCATACAATTTGTAACAGCACAAAAAGAGAGGGAAGAAGACGAAGAATAAGGAGGAGTAAAGAATCACAACCAAATAAATGCTACAATGCCCTATACCACGCACGCATGTACGCGTGCGCGTGCGCGCACACACACACACACATACATACATATATATGTCACATTAGCATGAAAAAATGAAACGCCACCGACAAGACTGGTGTGAAAAGAACTGCATAGTACTCGAAGAGAAGCAATCATTACCAAAAATAGAAAATTGACATTTTATTTATTTATCTATTTACAAAAGAATAGAGCATTACACCACACCCTCCCATACAACTAAGAGAGAAAAAACATAACTTTGCGGTCGTTTGCAGCATCATCCGAGACAAACCCCCGTTGACGCAACCACTCCTATATAAACTCACTACCCAGCTTAAAGAGGTCATTTTGACCATCTATCAGCTTGGCAGCAAAACCCTCTCTAATAACTGATAGCTCCTGACACATTCGAGTCATCTCCCTATGATCAGTCAGCATCTCCCCTCGAAAAATAGTAAGTTCATCACAAAGTGAGGCGACTTCTCTCTCTATCCAATTGACTTGCTCCAAGGCCTCAACAACTCCATCATCATTATCTTCCGGAGGTAGTACTATGAGATGAAGAAATCGCTCCACCATTTCAGTCAAGCGGTGCACCAAAAAGTTGGCATACATCTGCCACCTTTTTGTTGTCGTGTCGGGAGGAACTTGGCCGCCCACACTCCTACTTCAGCTTGAGGGAGGATTCTGCCTTACTCTCTATGCCACATCATCCGACTCTATGGCCCTGCTCCACGGTCCTCTATTCCAAAGCAACCTGCTACTCAATATTCGCTCCCCTCTCCCTGACTTGATCCACAGAGACCACATCGCTTTCAGGGTCGGTGTCATGTCTGAGGAAGTAGAAATAATATTCAATGCTCCTACAACTGCAAAAGGAATAATAAAAGCATGATTCAAACTACATACACAAAACTCAACACCATTCAGAAGTGGTGTAAAAGATGAAGTCCTCACTAGTCTTCTCCAGACCTCCACCCACAGAGGAAATGCCACCTATTTGTGACTGAGGTTGATTCCCAGCTTCAAAGAGCGCCTTCTCAACTTCCTAGGGATTACATATTCCACGCAACAGTCTGAAAGGACATTCAACCCCTTCAGGCAAGAGTAACTGCTTCAATGGGTGTCAATGTGACTGAGGTTGATTCCCAGCTTCAAAGAGCACCTTCTCAACTTCCTAGGGATTCCATATTCCACACAACAGTCTGAAAGGACATTCATCCCCTTCAGGCAAGAGTAACTGCTTCAATGGGTGTCCCGAAAGAAGATCGTCGGTTTGCTTTCTAACCTCCTTCTTAGCTCTCCACTATGATTGACCTATAGAGAAACTTGAAGACCCAGTTCGATCTTCATTTGCCCTTGAACGTGACCCCTGCACAATTATCTTCTTACTAAAATCTCTCACGGAAGCCTTGTGTGTCGATTTTCGCTTTGCGTCGAGTTAGCGAGCCTTCACTTACATATCACTCATTGCTTTGAAGATGGTGCTATTGTCGCCTGATGGCACTCCCTCTCCAAACATCACAACAGCCACAAAAAAGAAGAGATAGAAGAAAAGAAAAAAGAAGAAAAGAAAAAGATGCAAACCCTCCTTGCCCTAGAGCCTATTTATAATGGTTCGGGCATGGAAATCTAGGGAAGTCCTTTATTACATAATAATGTCATTTGACTATTTCATGCATGTTAAAAAGATTCTCCCGTCCTTGTGTACTGCGAAACAATCGTGGAACAAAAGAATCAAGGAACTAAATATGTACATATTTAAATATGTCAGCACAAATCTTAATGCAGATGAACAACTCAGTAAGATGATACTGATGATCGGGCATAGTTGTTGATGAATGACTTGAGCTTGATGTTGGCAAGGGAGACGTCTTATTCGAGCGGTCAGTGAAACATGGAAGGAGATTTTCCACAGTGCGGGGATCAACCCTCAAGATGATCGACAGGAGACTCTCTACTGATTAGATATCGATCAAGTCAAGGCTCACCTGAGGTTCGACAAACTCTTACTGATCGAATCAATTCCTCGATCTTATAACCCTATAATTACAAAAAAAAATCTCTCTAAAAAGTCAATGATGAGAGGACCAATATATACTTTTGTAATACTAGGACCAATGTCTATAAATAAGTAGTTCATATCATGAATAAAAGCTATACTCTCTCTCTTTCTCTTTCTAATCACGTCCTAGCAGAATCTTTTATTCCTTCGTCATTTTTCTCGGACACTTTTCGATTCAACTATTGGTAATAATTTTATGACAGCTAATCTTAGTTTCTATTTGTGACTTTTTTTTCTTAGTTTAGGAAGCCCTTCATTAGATAACTTCCAACATTGTTATCATATTATCCATCAAATTTATTAGATGCGACAAACACCTCATTTGGTACGTTCAATTTGTTAACATAATATTTTCAGTCAATGTGACCCTTAAAATAGAATATTCTATCATTGTCATTATCTTAATCACCTCAATTGTGGGTGGTTCAGCGTTGCCCACTTTTTAAAATATATGTATATATAAAAATTTATGATACAATATTTCAATGCATTTTTTATCCCCCCCCTCTTTTTAATTTTAATTCATTTATGTCTAAGAAATTACTAATTATGATAATATTCATGTAATGTATTCAAAATTATAATTATTTTCATTTTTTTTTATTTAATAATCGATACAAAATCATAAACTCACGGATACAAATATTTTCAAATCTCGATTCAAATCTATTAAAGATTCCAAATAGCTATAAATATCTCTTTTTTATTAATTTCTTAAAATAGATTATTCATATATATAATGAAAACAAAACATTAAGGAAGATTTCCCTTTATAACTCTTATACTTCAAAGTGTATATGCATGCCATTCTACTTATATATGAAAACATATATTGTCATATGAATGATTTTGATGGTATAAATGCAAGAAATAAAATTTAGGCATTAGAAATATAAATCCATAAAAATTGAGTGGCGTGCATGTAAATGCGCCATGCATGGGGACGTCTTTTCCGGCTTCCCGGCCACGTACGTGAATGAATGATGAATCTCTCTCCTGCTTCGCTGAAACCCTAAATCTCCTCCCGAGAAGCAGGAAAGGCCAGCCTTTTATCCCGAGAAATAAGAAACCGCCGCAAACCGCCGCTTTCTCCGATTTGCTTCCAAGCGGTTCAGGTCCACAGGAATATACCGCCATGGCTGATGCACACACACGTGGCTTGACATGATTGGTCGAGTTGTAACCGCCAAAAAATTGAAGCGATTATAAAATACGTCGTAGGGCTTCATGAAGCGATGCAGCCATAGAGAAAGGAAGAAAAGAAGAAAAATAGATGGGAGACTGCGTCGTCGGTCTCCCTCATCAGCCCTCGCTTGAACTTGATCCTGCAGAGGGATGGTTGGGTATGATTTCTTTTTTAACTTATTTCATTGTTGATGTTCTTGACCTGCAAAATTCTCAAATAAATGGTTGAATTCAGAATCCTATTTCTCCTTTCATTTTAGTTATAAATCATAATATCATCATCATCATCATCATCATGATATAAGATATGTAAGAAAAATAGTATTTAAAACATATGATCAATAATGATAAATTTCTAATAGAATTTCTATAATTTCTCCATTTTTGTAAAAAAAAAAAAAAATTTATTTAAAATATATGAATTTTAAATCTAACTATTGAGTTTGTCTAAACTTTTGTTATAAATTTTTTACATAAGATTTGTCTTTACATTTCATGGGAAGAAAAAAACATTGAGAGATTCACTTCCTTGAGTTATTGATCATGTAAACTGGGGAAGAATATACATAACACATCAAAATGATCTTGATTAAGGATAGTTCGTTCAAAGATGATCTGTGCATGATACAATCTCTCAATATAAAGTAAAGATGATTCGAAAAGATCATGTATGTACATTATCAAATCATAGTTTATAGATGTTTTATCGTAATTTGGGATGAGTGTTGTGTTTTTTTTTTTTTTTTTTGGCAGATTAAAATAAAATATGGTTCTTTTTTAAAAAAAGCTCAAAATATTTAAAAATAAATTAATTTATTTTAAAATATAAAATTGCATTGATATAAAATACACTAAATAAGTATATTTTAAGAATAAAAATATATAAAAAAAAAAATGAATCTCAAACATGACTCTAATCTTCAACCATAGTTTGTTTAGCATTCAATCATCTATTGAAATTTGTTTGTTGACGGTTTGATTATAAATTATAATATGGGTTGGTACGAAAGATGGTGCAATTACAATACTATCACATAACAAAGTATATTTTTTGTAACAAACATAATGGTTATAATGTAAGGAAGGATTATAAGAGAAAATCATATTGAGAGGAATATAAATACCCTACACAAATTGCTTAAATTGCAATCATCAAATTCAAAATGTGACCCAAACATTATACTGACGCTCAATAGATTGAATGAAATTAGCTATTGTCATAAAAATCACAAATTCAAATGAGTCTATATTATCCAAATTCAAGTATGATCAAACAAACTTAACAAAAAAAAATCACAATATCGGGCTCTGATTAAATCATTTTGATCCGTCTTTGATGACTATTCAATTAGTCTTAGCTTTTGATTGAACAATCATTTTGAACTATCTTTATTAAAGAACATTCAATCACATCAAATACAGCTTGATGAAAATCCGATCAAATACTTATGAAGGTTTGAAAATTACTCAATTATGGTATGAAGATAGTTTAAAGACTTGTTAATGATGAGGCTGACCGATCATTTATTCAGTCACATTTTATTCCATCATAATTTATTAATGGTTTGAAAATGAATGTGGGCGGACATACCATTAAAATTCTTGGTGGCAATAGAGTTTAGGGTTAAATATGTGAAACTTATTTTTTAAGCTTGAATGATAAATTGTTAAACACCACTAAACACAAAAAAATTAACATTTTTTACAAGCTGAATGTCAATTAAAATTGTGAAATTTGGATAATGTTATATGAAAAAAAAGTCATGAATCTCTTACGATCAAAGGCCGTGTAATTATTTAGCGAAGGTTTTGACTCAATTTATTACGAGATAGAGATATTTTGATCGGGAGAAATCTTTCAATCATTCTTTTTCCCAAAAAAATAAGTATTTGTTTGTTATTTTGTGTGTGAGATAAAAATATTATGTGATATTACGTGCAGACATCCCCAAAAAAATAAGTATTTGATACTTTAATTTTGTTATTTTGTGTGCGAGATAAAAATATTATGTGATATTACGTGCAGACATGTTAGATGCAAATTAGATGTGTATTGATGATATTGACATCAACGTTCACCCATGTGGGTGTAATGTATTTATTATGATAATTAAGACTAAAACCGCCTTTTAAATTCCAGTGGAAGAGAACGACCACCCAATTGAACAAGTTCGACTCACAGTAGACCCAATCGACAACCCTAATCTCCCCGTCCTCACCTTCCGAACATGGCTCATCGGATCCATCTCCTGCGTCATGCTATCTTTCGCCAACAAATTCTTCGGCTACAGAACCAATCAGCTCTACATCGGATCAGTCTGCGTTCAAATCGTCTCGCTCCCCGTCGGCAGATTCCTTGCCGCCTCTTTGCCGAAGAAGAACGTCAAGATTCCTTTCACTAACTGGTCTTTCTCGCTCAACCCCGGTCCATTCAATATGAAGGAGCATTGTCTCATCACCATTTTCGCCAACTCCGGTGCCGGCGGTGTCTATTCAATTCACATCGTCACCATTGTCAAGGCTTTCTATCAGAGAAATATCAATCCATTTGTTGCCTTCTTGTTGGCTCAAACCACGCAGGTGAGACCTTGCTTGAATGTTTTTTTGAGTTTGGAACATTAAAAAAAACAGGAGTGATGGAACATTTAAAATTATTAAGTTGTTTTTGGCAATTTTTGTTATTTAAAATGTGAGGAAGACTATCCTACAGTCATATTTTTTTTCTATTTTTTAATATCATATTATGTTGAGTAACTAAAAATAGCTATCTTGACATAATCTATATAAAAAAATGGTGACTTTTTAGTTACACACTATATAATCACATTTATTAAAAATGTCTGACTATAATGTAAAAAATATGAGTTTGTTTCTAGTTACTTTTATAGAACATAGTGTATGATTAGAATATTATATTTGGCCAAGCTTTAAAAAAATAAGATTAGTCTTTTTGACCCTCATTCTTGCCTAATTTGCACTTGCTTAGATATAACAATTAATGTAATATATAAAGATTAATTGTCTTGTGAAATATAAAGATCTTTCTTGCAAGGCATCAGTATATATATATATATACATTGACATCAACATGAGGATAAACTAAGCTAATTTCTTCAAAATAAGGAAGCTAATTTTTTTGAACATTTGATTCTTGCAGTTACTTGGTTATGCTGGGCTGGAATTTACAGAAAGTACTTGGTGGAATCTCCATATATGTGGTGGCCATCAAATCTAGTTCAAGTTTCCCTCTTCAAGTACTGACACAATTTAATTTCATCATCCTTCATCATTAATTTAGTATTGATTCGATAAATCCTCTCCCCCTTCTGCTAAAGTCAATAACCATTTCTTTTTTCAGAGCTCTGCATCAAAAAGAGAAGAGGAAGAAGGGAAGCCTGACAAGATTTCAATTCTTCATAGTAATTTTTGTGTTCAGCTTTGCATACTATGCCATTCCCGGCTATCTCTTCCCTGCCATCTCCACCGTCTCTGTCCTATGCTTGATATTCAAGAACTCCATCACCATGCAACAAATTGGATCAGGGATGAAAGGTCTTGGGATTGGCTCCTTCGGTCTTGATTGGTCGACGGTTGCTAGCTTTCTAGGTAGCCCCTTGGGAACGCCCGCAACTGCAATCTTTAACGTGATGGCGGGTTACTTCATTGTCGTGTACATTATGCTTCCATTTGCTTATTGGACCAACATATACAATGCAAAGCATTTTCCATTTATCTCATCCCATGTCTTTGACTCTTCCGGGCATCTATACAACACGACACGGATTATTGATAGCAGTACTTTCACATTGAACATCGAAGAACAAGAGAATTATAGCAAGATAAACATGAGTATTATGTTTGCGTTGACGTATGGTCTAGGATTTGCAACCCTGACATCATCGATCATGCATGTTGCTCTCCACAATGGAAAGTAAGAATCCGTTTGGAACAGCTTTCACTTTACTTTTCGTTTTTGATCGTCGCCTTATTTTTGTTTGGATAACTGATTTCTTGCTGCTTTTTAAAAATTTTTGTGGCAGAAGTTATTTTTTTTAACTCGACCTGTTAAAGTACGATAATTGTAAGCAGTATATCTGCAGTTTTGTAAGAAGTTTCTTAATTCACTACAACTTTATAAGCACATTCTTAAAAAGCTGCAACCACCCCAAACATACTTTAAGGATCCGTTTGGGGCAGCTTATAAGTGCGGGCGGCGTTTTGAAAACGCCGTCGTACTGTTTGGTTCGTCCGTTTTACCAGCTTATCAGAAATTGCATTTGGATTTTTACACTAAACGAGGGCCGCGGGTCGGCTCGCGGGCCGCTGAAACGCACAAGCTGCTCCAAACGGACCCTAAGTTAAGAAGACGAAGCACTGCACCGTGGAGTGGATGATTGCGAATATTTTATGGTAATGATTTTTCGTATTTTTAAATTTAACTTGTTAGGGATATTTGGAAGTCATGGCAGCAAACCAGAGATTCCTCGAAGGAGAAGAAAATAGATGTTCATGCTAAGTTGATGAGCAACTATGATGCTGTGCCCCAATATTGGTTCTATGCTCTCTTGATTTTGGTAATTCCTGTCTCAATTTTCACTTGTGTTGGATTTGGCGGCGCGTTGCAGCTTCCATGGTGGGGAATATTACTGGGTTGCGCAATGGCTTTGTTCTTCACATTACCTATCGGAGTTATTACAGCAACTACAAACCAGGCAGGTTCCTCACTAATACAACAACAACAACAACAACAAAGCCTTAATCCCACTACATGATTTCAACTTATTGTAACTTTTTTGTATTATTTAACAGCAACCGGGGCTCAATATTATCACAGAATACATCATTGGTCTTATGCTACCTGGAAAGCCCCTAGCAAATGTTACGTTCAAGACATATGGGTATATAAGCATGACTCAAGCACTCACATTTCTTAGTGATTTCAACCTGGGACATTATATGAAGATTCCTCCCAAATCTATGTTCGTCTCTCAGGTACCTTCTTTTCTGTGATGGGCCATTTACATGCATGCCATACAGTTCTTATGTATTTACATTTCTACACCTAAACTTTCATATTCACATACTTGACACTCTAATCTTTGTTATCACATCAAAAATATCACTACCTTCTACCTTTTTTTACAAGTGAAGTACACCTTCGCATGCATGGTTCATGACACCGAAATGTTATAAATGTAACCTTACGTGTTGGAAATGTAAATAATAAGAAATTATGTGTAACATGTTAATATTAAGCGCAGTTAATACCTTATACGGTTCATTCTTCTCTTGCATTTCAATTGCATTTTACTATATAGAAAATCTCTTCATGTAAAATGATACACTAATCTTCCAGATAAGCAGCAGTAAATCCATTACCTGGAATATATTTACGGCTGTCAAAGCGGCTCGTTGTTTGCGAACAGCTTGTGCTCGACTCGTTAAGAAGCTTGTGTTCGGCTCGTTAATTTCGTTCGATAAATTAATGAGCCGAACACGAACTAAGATGTGTTCATTCGTGTTCGGCTCGTTTTGGCTCGAAATACTACTCATCATGTGTATATATATATATATAAATAAGTATTTTAAAAAATTTAATTGACTACAAGGAGATTTATAATCAATTAAAATATTGATTAAGAAAATAGAATAAAAATTATTAAATTAGATTCAAATGATGTTTTAATATAAATAATAATTTTTAAATCTTGTTCAAATACTTATTGTCTTGTGTCTTATGGCTATATAATTAGGGTTGTTAAAATGACTCTTTGTTCGTGAACAGCAAATGAGCCGAACACGAACGTACTTTTTTGAGCTAGAAATATAAACGAGCCGAACAAGAACTGAGCATCGTTTACACCCCTAATCATAAAGACTTAATAGCAATTTATACTGTTCAGCCCACATTCCCTAATATCATTATATATTTGCTTTGAAAAACATCTCAGTTAGTAGGGACAGTGATAGCAGCCTCAGTCTACTTTGGAACAGCATGGTTTCTTCTCGAGTCAATTGAGAACATATGCGACACGGATAAACTTCCAGCCGACAGCCCATGGACATGCCCGGGCGACGACGTCTTCTACAACGCGTCCATCATATGGGGACTCGTCGGCCCGGTGCGAATGTTCGGAAAACTAGGTCTCTACTCTGCTTTGAACTACTTCTTCATTGCCGGCTTCTTGCTGCCCGTTCCTTTCTGGTGGCTTTCTCGTGCCTTCCCCAATCAGAAGCTGCTCAAGTATGTCCACATACCGGTCATTCTCGGAGGCGCCGGCGGCATCCCCCCCGCGCACACGGTTAACTATATCACGTGGGGCGCCGTGGGCATCTTCTTCAACTACTACATTTACAAGAAATACAAGGAATGGTGGGCGAGGCACACGTACGTGATGTCGGCCGCTCTGGATGCCGGCATTGCTTTCATGGGAGTTCTCATCTTTTTCTGCTTGCAGTACCATGACATCAGTGGAATAGATTGGGTGGGAGGGGAAGCAAGTGACTTCTGCCCACTTGCAGGTTGCCCTACTGCCCCAGGAGTGGTAGCCAAAGGATGCCCAGTAAAAGCATGATAGATGATTACTATTTCCTATTGATTTTATCTTATTTGGTGATAAGCTTTGCAAGGTTCATTGTTTTAGTAATCCCAAGTCATTGTACATATAGTTCTTCAGTTACTCTTTCTTTGTCTGATGAAAACTTATACATTCTTTGTATGTTAAGTTGAATTTTTAATTATAAAGTTGCAAGACCATGTGATTGTATTGCTGATATATCTATCTTGCAATGGCATTGGTGTTCTTTTGCCATTGATTTTGATTTTATTTTGGGGCATTTGCATCATACTACCAAATTTCTGTGTATTTGCATATTTAAGGCCTAGACTTTGTTTTTTTACATTTATTCCACTCAAATCTTTCACCGAAACTTTGCCTTTTTTTTTACATTTATTCCACTCAAATCTTTCACCGAACATTAAAAATATCATTATTTTAACTTTTGAAATGTGGAATACGAGCTTTTCACGAACAACGAGCCGTTTTGACAGCCCTGCTCTCAAATCATTTAATGGTAAGGTAGACTTTCAACTTGGAAATCTTATCTTAGTCTTGTTATACTGTAGTAAGGATGTGCATATGGAGAATGTTAGTTAACAACAATTATGTATTTTTCACCCATTTTTTTTCCGCTCCATGCAGTTAGCGCTATCAGAAATGAGTTCTTTTTGAATAGCTCATATTCGACTTAGTAGGTAGCTCGTGTTTTATTTGTTATTCGAACTAATGATCTGTACATTAATATTTTTTTGAGCTCTATTTAAAAATGAGAAAAACACGAATAAATTTTTGTTCGATCTTATTATGCTTATTCTGGCCCAAATTAATTAAATAATTAAATAAACAAGTTATTTTATACACGAGCTTATTAAGAACAAAAAAAAATAAAAATAAAATTGATGCTTCTATTATCATGTCCTGGGACTTCAAAATATATAGCATAAATACTTGGTTGGTGTAGTAATATTATTTTAGTGATTTGTAATTAATGTTAAAAATGTAAATTAAAAGGAAAAGCTCTTTTGATGTGATGCTATGCCTCGGCATATCATGTCGTCAAAGGCTTTTGTAGGTTTTAGAACTCCCCTTCACCACCTGTAGGAGGAGGAGCTTCTACAATCAATTCCTTGAAGTGAAATCATATCCATTATCATAGTTAAGAGTAAGGGCACCTCTTTAAATCATTTCCTAAAAAATAAATTTAGTTTTTTTTTTTTTACATTTTTAATCAAAATAAAATAAGATTGATATGTAATACTATGTTTATTTATTTTTAAAAACACTTAACTTTTAAGTGCTTTGAGCGTAGTTTAAAATACCGGATCGAGCCAGCCGGCTCAACCGATTCCCAGCGGTTGGTCCGATTCTACTTTGGGTAACAACTGGCACTGCATTCGACCGGCTATAACCGGTTCTAATCGCCAGTCCAATTGCAAAACTGACAAGCCAATCGTGGTTCGACCGAACCGCTTATTTATTTATTTTTTATTTTTTATTGGGTAATCTATGAATATTTATATTGCAAATTTTTAGTTACCAAGGATTTGAAATTTTATGGCTGAAAAGCTTAAATGCACACCACTCAGATTTTATCTATTTACATATCGAACACCTAAACCAGTATTTTTTATTAATATACTACTCAAGTAATTTTTAAAAATAATAAAAAAAATTTAGCATTTTCTTAATATATATAAAAAATAATATAAATAAATAAAATTATTTAATTATTTCGTGCTAAGCATGTCTACCACGAACGAAAAAACATTTATGTGTTATAAATTGAGCTAAAAAATATTTGTTTTATTTATTTATTATATTATTATTGCATTATTTAGGCCATATTTAATTAATTTTTATATTTATTATGTCATCTGGTTCGACCCCAGTTTAACCGCGGTCAAG